ATAATTGGAATGATTGCTGATTTTTCAAAAGAAGACAGTAGCATAATATATTCAAAACACTGAAAGAAAATAATTGCTAATCTGAAATTAACAAAAGTACCCATAAAATTATCTTTCAAGATGAAAGGCAAAATAAAGGTATTTTTCAGAAAAAAAAAAAAGTTTAACACCACTGACCCCTGAGAAAGAGCACTTCTAAAGGATATGCTTCAAAAATGACAATGATCCTGCAAGAAAGGTCTAAATTACCGAAAACAGCAAAGAAACTTTATGTTGTATCTAAACTAACACTAATTGTAGGATACAATAATGGGCTATGTTGGACAAGGCTGAACAGTAATAACCAAAAGTGGAAACGTGATAGGATTTAAAATGTTCTAAGTTCCTCTATAGTTCAGGAAGCAGTTAGAAATAACTTTAGACTTTAAAAGAAAAATATATATGTCAAATACTTGTAATAGTAGAATCTCAAATTACCGTGTATAGTCTCCAAAATATGAAAGGGAAAAAAACCTGACTTTACAAAAGCCATTCAATTAAAAAATTCAGGAAAGGAGAATAAAGGAAACATAAAATAAAGAAAAAGCAGTAGAAATAGAAAGCACAAAATAACATGTGGAAATCATTATAATACACCAGTAACCACAATAATTGTAACTGGACTATACTCACCAATGAAAAGAAAGAAATTGGTAGCTATGGGCTGTTTGAAAGACATCCACCTAAAACCTAAATAGAGAGAAAAGAATGGAAGTACGATATGGTACCATGTAATCCTCGATAAAAGAAAGTGATGTGGCTAGCTCAATAACAGACAAAATATATTTTAAAGTAAAAATATTTATTAGAGGCAGGATGGCCACTACATAGTCATCAAAGACTTAATTCATCAAGAAAATACAAAAACTCAAAACAGAACCCCAAAACATGTCAAATAAAAGCTGAAAGACATAAAGAAATAAATTCACAGTTTTAATGGGAGATTTTAACACGCGTTCTCTGTAATTTTTTGATTAACTGAACAAAAAAAGTGTTTGTAAGGATAAATAAAATTTAAACAATATAATTAACAAGGAGTATTTAATGGATATGCCAGAATACATATGAAATCCTACATACAAAAAAGAATAGATACACTCTCTAAGCACATATGATTGCAATGCAATTAAGAAATTAACTACTACAAACTATGCTGTTAAAAAACACTATACAATTGCATACCTTAAAAAGGCACTAAACAGTTTAAAAGTCAAAAAGGAAACATAATGAACATTTTAAAATAGACTTAGAACTGAATAATAATGAAAATTCTACTCATCAAAATGTACGACCAGTAACTAAAGCAGTGCACAGAGGAAAATATATAGCCTCAAATTTCACATTAGAAAGGAAGAAAAGCTAAAATTATATAAAACCAATGAAAGTAGAAAAAGGGGAGAGAAGAAGGGTATAAATTAAAGAAAAACATTACAGGAAAAGAGAAAGACAGACTAGGGAATTCATAAATATAATAGTTCTTTAAAGGTGATTTTTTAAAATAGGGAGATCCTTGTCAAGATTGATCAAGAAAAAACAAGCAAGAAAGAAGGTACAGATGTGTAACATTAAGTACGAAAAGACTAACAAATTAGAGCAGAGACTAAAAAGATAATTTTATATTAATAAATCTAAAAACAGATTGGATGGACAATTTCCTAGAAATATTACAGAAGGAAAAAAATAGAAAAATAAAAGCTATTTTTCTTGAAATGATTGCATTCATGGGCCTTCATATTTGAACTCCAAACACTTAATTCTTTACTCATATAACCTCTAAGGAGAGTACATAAGTTAAACAAAAACCATTATCTCCAAGTTCTGTATCTCATAATACTTCACATGTAATGACCAAATCCATTGGTAGAAGAGGTTAGAAACCCACCTTAGTAATAACTGCTTCATAAGTGAACATAGGCACATTTTCTTTTCTAATATAATGCAAATATCAATAAATTTAATCATTAACTTTCCAAAATACATAGAGGCACCATTTTTTAATGAAAATACAAGTTGCCTCATTGATATAGAACATGATAAGAAGGCAGCATATAGCTTTACTCAAAACTAAGCAATATTTGAATATCAAGAGTTTCACTTTTATAAACATTCATCATGTATATTCTGTAGAATATTATTCACAGATCCTTCCCTTTATGGACCCACTTCTATCAAGCTGCTTACACTGCATCACATAAGGATTACATCAGATTCAAAAGAAGTTTCTGCCTATGATGGAAGAAACACACTGGAGTTTCAGCGGGCCAGCTATAGAATTTTGTCTCTTTCCACAGAGTAGCCAGGATGATGTCAACATAGAAATCAGATCATCTGATTTTCCTGCTAAAAATCCCTCAAAATCCACATTCTTTACCAAGTTCTCCAGACCCTGAATGATCTGGCCATTTCTGACTTTCCCGTGTTCTCACCACTCTCAGTGACTTCTGCCTCAACTGCCTTCTGATGGGACTTAGAACATTGTTAAACCCTTTTCTGTCCCAGGACCTGCTGTTGTCTTTGCCTAGATGCTTTCTTTCCCTCAGCCTCTATCAAACTGGTTTGAACTTCTCTCATACATAGTCACACATCAGCAGGACTATACACAGTTACTACACCTGTAAATGCAATATCCCTGATTTTAATTCATTCTATAGATTATTCTCCTGGGATGATCATGAAAATAATAAAACAAAGCCCTTCTGGTTCAAAGAAACCTACAAAAAACTACATTTGCCATGTAAAACACCAGTCTGAATCACCAAACAAATTTCAGGTGTCTCTTTTCTTACAGAACACTAAAACACAGGAATTGGTCTAGCTTAACTGGTCACAGAAATCTGGTCTAGCTTAATTACAGACCAGATGAACCGGACACACATTCTTTCCAGCTTTCCAACAACAGTAAAGTATAGTTTAAAACAGACCTTGTCCAGTTATATGTATGCTCTGTTTTGAATGAGTCATAACCAATGTTTTGTTCCCTTCAATTTGCTTTAAAATGTTTTGCAGAGAGGAAAATACAAAATCTACTTATATACTTTTGTACATGTATTCAGTTCTCCACCATTCATTTTCTCCCTTGATGGTTATGGGGATTAAAGTACTTGCTTAAAATAAATGCTAGAACCAAAAGAAAGGCTATAATTTCCTTTAAAAAAATCTCTATCTTTAAAAGGTGAGCCCCCCAAAAACTTTAAGTCACCAGATCATTATTTTAAGTTTTAGTATAAACGTATAAGTCAATGTCCACAGCTGTAAAATGGGATAATAATGCATGTCTGAACAAATTCTCAGAGTTGATATAAGTATCACCTGAGTTTTATGAGTAACTGCTTTGCAAGTTGCAATATAGGATTATTCTCCTTTTCAAAGGATGACAGTTAAGTTATTGTGTGAGCCACACAACGAACTGTTCAAGTTAGTAACGGATATTTCCAGAGTCAGAAGTCACAAAGTCAAATGTCTGCAGGGGTGAGGGAGGTGAAATACATGAGTGAAGCAGGTCTTGATGAAATAAAGGCAGAGGATGACAGCAACGTGGCAAAGTGGAGACTGTATACTCCATCCAAAGTGGGCAACTCCTCCTGGCTTCTGCTATGAGCAGTCGCAAGAGCTGTCTTGCCTGGTCCTCCATTTTTTCAGGAGAAGCCAGGACTCCAGGAACTTACACAAAATTAACTAATTTGAAAATATTAGTAAGTAAATCAATTATTTTAAAGTACTGAGCTGACCCAAAGAAACACTTTTGAAGGCCAAATTCAGGCTTGAAACCATCAGCATACTACTTTTATGTGAGGTTCTGCATTTTTTATCAAGAAATGACCTATAAATATAAACATATCCACAGTGTCTAATCACCCTCAGATATTAGGAAAAATGGATATTAACAGTGACTAGTTTTCTTTTTTTTAACTGCGTACCATATTCCAGGTACCTACTATGCTTAAAATTTTACATGCAGTATGTCATTTAATTCTCAGGAGAAGCTCTTTAGAAAAGCATTACTGTAACCCATATTTTCAGAAAAGAAAACTAAAGATTAGAAAGCTTTTAAGGTCATAATGTTTAAGTTCATGGTAGAAATTAAGTGTCCAATGACAGATGATTTTAGTTCAAAAGAGTAATGCTTCCCAACTTGAGGTTCCTAACTCCCTATGTGTCACCAAAGTAGTAAGCGATCATCTGTGAATCAACTTGAAAGCTTATCAGAAATCTTCTATTTACCCTCTGATGAATAACTGAGTTTGTTTCCTATTACTAGGGGAAGGGAGTTTGTTTGTTAGGTACAATCATTCAAATTATCAATTCCCAGACAAAACTAATGAAAGGATCCTTGTCTGTAAAAAGAAAAAGAAAACGCAGTTGCAAATAACACTGCAGAAATTATTTACATAATAAACATTTTACAAACTTTATATGATTTATATAAAAGAACTATACGTTCTAAAGGGTATTTCAGCCTCCAAATATTTATCAAAACCACTTGTAGCAAATAATGGACCTTCAAATATTTTGGATTTGACAGAGAAAATTATTTTTCAAAGAATAAATGCAAAAATTTAGCGTGTAAAGATGTAGTCGAAAAAGGACAAGATGATGCTACCAAATTATGTGACATGACCAAATTGTAATATATGTATATATACACACATATACTAAGTTGATATTAAAGATTACCAAATTCAATCTTTTAGTTTGCATTTTCGTCCCCAGATAATAATTTTAAAGGACTAAGACAAATGAATGTAATTTTTCACATGCTAGACATCCCATCAATATATTCATAAAGCCCATGTTATCTTTGAAAGTTTATGCGTCTGTAAATTTTCCCATTTTGAAATAATTATCTTTTATAATGTAATAAAAATCAATATGGCAAGAATAACATGCACCCCCATTTATCTATCAAAACTTGGCACTTAGGTTCTGGCAAATCCAGAACACTTCTCAATTTTATCACCTACCGTTAACAAAGCTTGAAAATAAGGCATAATAATGCTCAGACGCCAAGACCTTGAATACTGTGTCCAGGCTGCACCGGGGCCCTGGGCCTGTAACCCAAAACAAAAAGATCATGGCTTTATGGGAGTAAACATTCAGGATCTGGGGGAAATAACCAGAAGTTGAACTTAGAAACTTCTAGGTAGAAAGGCAAGACAAATAGTTTATTCCTCAGTAACTAACTTTTCGCACTTCTACACAATGAACAAGGAATTCAGAGCCCCTCATTTCATGTGCTGGCATTAAACAACTCTCCGGCTACCAGATCCGTGTGAATTATAAAAATGCTTAAGAGGCCTTAAGTGCACCTGTACAATTAGTTAATTCACCAAGAAAACTAGAAACAACCAGAAAATCCATGAAGATTCTTTGAGTTTTCAAAAACGCTTAGTGTATAGGGTTCAGTGGCATTACAACAGTTATTTCAAGGCTTATGGCCAATTTCCATTCTAACGATAATAACGAAAAATTTTTTCTGGAAGGGGGATAGGAGCAAGGTGCGAATTAGCAACTACTTGGAGAACAGAACAGAGCTGTCGGTGAGCAGAGTTGAAAGGACATCCTTCTTCTGGTAGGTTTCTCTATTTCTCAATAATGATCATACTTTTCTTGTCTGCTCTTTCTCCTTAAAAGGAAAACTCCTTTACAGACCCATTTGGGGTTGCAGGGACCCCAGCTCCACCCACCTGCTTGTTCCGAGAAATCACCCAGGACGCAGTTCCCTCAGGGACGGGCCACCCAGCGCCACCTGTGGGCGACGCCGCCAAGCCCGAGAGCGCCACAGGTCTCCGAGGCGACTCCGCCAGACCCGGCGCCTCCTCCCTCCAGTCCCCCTGAAGTCCCCCTCAGTTCTCGCCCCTCGTTACTCTTCGAGGTTCTCCCCTTAAGTTTCTTTCCCAAGTTCACACTTCAAGATCTTCCTTCACCCCTCACGCCACCCTTCCCGTTCCCTCCTCCTGTTTCCCCATCACGTTCACCCCTCCTGTTCCCTCCTCAAGTTCATTCCTCACGTTCCCTCCTCGAGATCCCCCCTCACTATCCCCTCGCGTTCCCTCCTCGGCTTCACCCACAAGATCTTCCCTCAAGTCCACCCCTCACGTTCACCCTTCCCGTTCCCTCCTCCTGGCTCCCCCTCGAGTTCACCCCCCGCCCCCGTTTCCCCCTCAAATTCATCCCTCTCCTTCTCCCCTCGAGCTCTCCCATGCAGTTCAAGCCTCACGTTCCCCTTCTCTGTTTCCCGCTCCACTTTTCCCCTCGAGTCCCTTCTCTCACCCCAGGCCCCGACACACACACAGGTCCTCCGGGTCTGACCTGGGTGAGCGGGCAGTGGCAGCGGCCTCGCGCTCAGGGAGCCCCGGGCCGGCCCCTCAAGCCCCGGGGTCCAAGGAAGCTGGGCCGCCTCCAGCGCCGCGCTAACCCAGCAACCCGCAGCCGCCCCACGCCAGTCCCCGGGGCTGCCCCGACCCATACCTGGGCGGAAAGCCGCGCGCCTCCTTACTCCTTTCTCCGGGCGCTGGCTACAGGCGCTCCCTCTAGGGCCGGGCAGGGGCAGCCGAGCCGGGGAGGAACTGGGCCGCCTGCAGGGGGCGGGCCGAAGGTCGGCGGGAGGATCTGACCCGGGCCTGCCGGACCGAGGGCGCGCCTTATTCCGGACCGAGGGCGCGCCTTATTCCGGACCGAGGGCGCGCCTTATTCCGGACCGAGGGCGCGCCTTATTCCGGCGCGCGGGGAATACTTTTCCTCTCGCCGCGCTCCCCACCGTCCGCAGGTGGAGGCCGCGCCATCCGCGCCATCCAGATCCTCGGAGGGCCCTTGGCTGGCTGCCGAGGGGCTTCCCGGGACTGTGGCCGCGCCTCCTTGGCCCGGAGCCCGGCGAGAAGGGAGTGGAGCCCCCGGATCCAGGAGCCCTCACGGACTGGCCCAGTGCCTGGAGCAAATTCTGCTCCCGGCCCCTTGTGGTATCTTCCTCCCAGGAACTTCCCCCCACTGCGAGGGGCTCGGACCCGGAGAAGGTAATGGGTTTCAGGTCCAAGAGGGATAGTGGCTAATGAGATCGCTCCTAGGGTCCAGTTCCGTTTTGCAGACTGATAAGGAGGTTAGGGCTGGGGCTGAAGTCAAAGGCAGGAACTTCTGCCCTCAGGAGGCAGCCCGTTAGTCACCAACACTCTACCTGGTCCTTTGCAATCCTTTCCAGACCATCTGTGGTCTCCTGTCACACAGGGCTCACTTGGGGGGACCCTGATGGCCAGATTCTCTTGAACAGTCTCTAGGGACATTTTGAGTATTGCTATACCTTCATCCATTCAACAGGTGAGAACTACAACCAAAACATCCTTTGATTCTGTTAATTATCTCAATGGGTCTATCTTTCATGTTATCTAAATGAGAATTACAGAAGAGACCAAAGAGAGATCATCTAATCCTAATCAATGTGTATCTTAGGAAAAAAATGTGATTTAAAAAATCTGTTTCAAAAGGTCATTCGGTATATTCAAGACCCTTCCTCTTAAAGTAGCTTTAAAATTTAGAAATTGGGCCGGGCGCGGTGGCTCACGCCTGTAATCCCAGCACTTTGGGAGGCGGAGGCGGGCGGATCACGAGGTCAAGAAATCGAGACCATCCTGGCTAACACAGTAAAACCCCGTCTCTACTAAAAAATACAAAAAATTCGCTGGGCATGGTGGCAGGCCCCTGTAGTTCCAGCTACTTGGGAGGCTGAGGCAGGAGAATGGCGTGAACCCGGGAGGCAGAGCTTGCAGTGAGCCGAGATTACACCACTGCACTCTAGTCTGGGCGACAGAGCGAGACTCCATCTCAAAAAAGAAATTTAGAAATTGAACAGTGGATTTTTAATAGGGATGATATTGAATCAATAGCCTAACATATATGAACAGCTTCAAATTTTCAAGAAGTTATTTCATCAGAAAACGGATCACAGCACATATATTATTCAACATAATTAGGGCCATTTGGACATACCTGGGAGATTTTAAGAATTAAACAGAGCAACTGAGTGCTCACATACACAATAAAGTCACGATCACAACAGAGATAAACAATACCCAATTAAAATACAATAGAAAAATAGATCCCATTCACAACAGAAACATGAAAGAACATGAAATAACTAAGAATGATAAAAAATGAGAAATATAGGAGAAAAGTGGGAAAATTTTAAAAATGCAGGATTCTTGAGAGACTACTTATAATTGGAAAGACACAGGAATCCTAAGTGAGAAGACAAGATGTTAAACACATAATTACTACCTCCCAAATTAAGAGACAAATATATTCTAGAATTCATATGAAAACTACAGAAGCTAGAAGAGCTAAGTCCAGTGGCTCTCAGAGTGTGGTCTAGGGGAAATTTGTTGGGGGTCGGGGGCGGTCTCTGAAACCATTTCAGGAGGTTCACAGGATCAAAATTGCTTTAATAATAGCAATGACTTTTTTCCACTCCTTTTTATCTACCATTTTTAAAATGAATTTATGATGAAGTTTTCTAGTGGCTCTATAATATGTGATATCACACAGATTGAATGCAGAAACTGATAACGTCTTCTATTATGCCAGACATTAAAGAAATGTGCAAGAATATAAAATAATGCCACTCTTACCGTTAAACTTTTTTGGTTTTGGAAAATACAGGTATTTTTCATTTAAAAATACGCTATTCATGTTAACATGTAATGAGCTTACTAGTGAAATATATTTTTAAAATTTCTCTGTTTTAATTGCTATAACATAAAAGTTCTTTGGAGTCCTCAAAACTTTTTGAGAGTGTAAATAAAGGAGAGTTTTAAGACCAAAACATTGAGAACCCTTTTTTTTTTCTTTGAGATGGAGTCTCACTCTGTTGCCAGTCTGGAGTGCAGTAGCATGATTTCGGCTCACTGCAACCTCCACCTCCCAGGTTCAATTGATTCTCCTGCCTCAGCCTCCCGAGTAGCTGAGACTACAGGTGTCTGACACCATGCCCTGCTAATTTTTGTATTTTTAGTAGAGACAGGGTTTCACTATGTTGGGCAAGATGGTCTCGATCTCCTGATCTTGGGATCCACCCACCTCAGCCTCCCAAAGTGCTGGGATTACTGGCGTGAGCCACTGCCTCCAGCCCCAAGAACCTTTTGATAGATAAGACAATGGAAAAAGAAACATGTAATTATGCTATAATAATGAAAAGAATTACATTAACACGGAATAGAATAGTGTGTCCAATCCCACCAGCCTAAGACCATCAAGAACAAAACCTACAGTCCCACAAAGTCAAGTTCACTGACTCAATGTTACAGTGGAGATACTACACACTAGAGAAACCATGAAGTGAAGTTGTGATAGGCTCAAAGCAAAGCAGAGCTGGGAGTAAGGGGTCAACATGAGGTTTGGGCTGTGACCAAGGGTTCTGTTTCTTTGGATAAATGTGGAATGCTGTCTTAGGAAACTCCTTATGTGAAGCTCTGTACTTGAGTTGTAAATCGGGGCCATGTCTCTGTTGTCAAAGTGAGTTAGATCCTACAAGCAATTATGGGAGATTTCATTCTTAGTGACATAATTTCAAAAGTCAAATTTTCTGGTAGTCTATGAGCATAAGAAGCAAGATTTTCCAATGAGTTAGAAAGAAGTAGTCACTCAAAAAAGGGGACTGTTGTTGACATTTCACAGCATAGCTGCCCTTGGAAGAAGCATGATGTCCTGTTCATCTTACACCTGGCAATATCAACTTTTTTTTTCCTTATGCTGCTGCTCAGGCTGATCTCAAACTCCTGGGTGCAAGAGATCCTCCCATCTCAATCTCCTGAGTAGCTGGGACTACAGGTGCATGCCACAGGCCCACCTCATTCCAGTTTTAACCTACCCATCTAGTTCTTGTCAAAAAGGCTCAGAGAAAGCAGAACTGGGCCGAGCAAGGCGACTCATGCCTGTAATCCCAGCTACTCAGGAGGCTGGGGAGGTGGAGCAATCTCAGTGAGCGGAGATCGCGCTTCTGCACTGGATGACAAAGCGAGACTCCATCTCAAAAGAAAAAAAAGAGAGACAGAGACAGAGAGAGAGAGAGAGAGAAATGAATGCACTTGCCAGGAGCAAACCTCCACCTTGTAGGCTAATGGCATCTCATCAGTGAGCCCAGCACAAGTGACCCAGTGATCTGGGAGACCAATTAATGGAAGAAAGATTGCTCATTCCTGCTTTCTGAGCTTCAGAAACCCTACCTTGTGATATTTGTGCATGAATTGCAGCCCAATCAAATTAGTTCTCAAATTTAGCCTTATCTGTCTATTCTGCTGATATTGCCTTAATTTAGCCCTTCACCATCCTAGAGTATTCTAGATGTTTCCTGATTTTTCTACTGTTTTGCCCTCTCCACTTTATAATAAGTCAAGTCATTGCATGTATTACTCACACCCCTTGTAGGAAGACTCCATGCATTTGTAATTATGACTGGGTGGTGACCCTCCCAGGCAAGAAAAAAAAGTAAATCGCCTGTAGGTCTAAAAGTTCTCTCTTTTAAAAGTGCAAACTTTCTTTTAGTGCATTATTTAATTTTGTATGCACAATGTCCCTCTTTAATGGAAATACCTGTAAGGTAGGTGTCTCTATTTACTAATAAGGAACTGAAGCAAGTAATCAATGATTTCTCAAAGGCCACCATCTTAGTAATCACCTCTTTATCACAATAAATTCCAAAAGTTACCACCTCTGTAAATGCTCAAATTAGAGTTTGATTCTCACAGAGCTATCAAGGATGAAAACATGATGCTTCAAATGTTCTAAACACGCTGGAACTCGCTTCCCAGTGATGGGCCAAGAATGGGCTTCAGCCTTCCTGTGTCCTAGAGACTTTCTTAGGACCTTTCTTTCTTCTCTGTATCCACACTGAATTCCCACTCCCTTTTATGCTTACTGAACCACTATCATCTTAGTTGTGATATACTTGACTGTTCTTTTCATAGGAAAATGCATTTGCCAGAGTTAGCATGATGGATATAGTAGACCACTTTTAAGGAATCCATCCCTCCATTTCTTATTCATTACTCGATTAATATTTACTGGGTGCTTCTAGGTGCTGCAACTGTTCTAGGCATTGAATTTGAATCCCGTCTTTGCCATATATAACTATAAAATGTTTGGAAAATTGCTTTCTGTATGTGCTGATACTCTAAGATGGAAGATTACCAATATAAGTGATATTCAGTTAAAACCTACACATTCTTTCACTACTAAACTTATCTAAATCATCTGACCATCTACATTATTAACTTTTTAGAACACATGGCTCTGATGTTTTCTTGATTATTATTTTGGGCACTTTTGGCTGGTTGTGCCTTCATTGTCAGTTTTGCAGCTATGAGGACCTCAAAATATCCACATATCCATACTACTCATTCAAGTACATCAAAATGATCATCTTATATCTATTCAGGCAGGAGTCCAAGATTTGACTCACATAGTTGTTAGTAAAATATTCCACATGTTAAGATCTTATCGGTGGCCTCTACTTGATGTTTCTCTATTAATTTTGAACTTTTGTCATTGTTTTGCCATTATGTTACTGTGTGGGAGGGAGGAAGT